ACCTCCACCTCACAGGTCTACACGCCGTGGTTGTGGGCTCTGTTGTTGGTACACTAATTAGCAGGAGTCTCTGATGCTCTCAACTTCACGACGGTGGTTAATAGTTCCCCACTGATTACCTACGCCGTTAGCCACATATTAGTCACGGAAAGGTCCAACCCCAACCCTAATAACATGGCTTTAAAATAAGCTTTGAAATGTAAAGTAATGATACCCTGTGAATTCTTCCAAGAAGGCCACCGCGACTATTTCCCACCACTTGAATCAAATGACAACAGGAATCAACAAACCATCAAGAAACGCAAAATGATTTATTATAACACATACGTCAGATTAAAAGTTCAATATGGAGTACAGTATATTTTAAAAAATTGTGCAACTATGAAAAAAATTGACAAATTTGTCAATTTCAGTAGTCATTAAACAAATGTTGTGGGAAGATCTTGGGAATTGGATCCTCTCATTTTCCATTTTTTTGATATTTCTTTTTTACAAAATATAATTAGTCTAATGTTGCATTACAGAAGTGTACATTTTAGGACTGCAGCACTTTTTAATCAACCAAATAACTTTTAGATTAAAATCACTTAACAGGCTAGTTAACTGTAATTCATTGGTTGTTTTACACTCGGAGCTTCGGTAAAGGGGCAGCTTTAGGTCTCCGCCATTGTTCCTTCGCCATGTCATTAGCTCCAAGCCCTCCTGTATGTCGAATACATGCATTGTGCCCGAGTATTATGCCTTCTTCCGCCTTCACGGAAGTCTCGGGACATTGCAAAGTGTAACCAAACTCTTGTTGCTCATATGTCTTTTTGAACACTTCCAACATCCCTAAAAAGTAATGGCTGCGAATAAATGATACTTGAGGTGAACAGATTACCGCCAGGTAGCATTCAAGCTGCTCCTGTCAGGCTAAAAGCACGATCGCGGTCACGTGCGAGCAGCATAGATAGTCCTGATGCTGTAGTCCATGGTAAATCATACATGGTTGGGGGCCAATATCATGCTATGTGATATTGCGTCGGCTTACATGTAGGTCTTCGTGGTCCCAGTAATTACAAAGGACTGGGGCTAAAAATCGAAGCATTCGGAGGGTAGTATAAAGTGAACCACGAAGACTGGCTTAAATACACCTCATTTTGTGACATGTTGCATATTTTGTGCCAATTTGTGCCACGTTTATGCAACGTTTGGTTTCACTTCTATTTTCAGCTCACTTTTACCGCCAATTTTTGTGTTCTTCTTCGCGCGCAGTTGTCAAATGTCAGGAAAGAAAACATCCTCAGAGGAACGTTGTGAGGATGGGAGTGGAGCGAAAAATATCGCACTCTCATTAGTCATTTATATGGCACGCAATGTGCTGTCTGAAGCTACGTTAAATATAAATAAGACTTGCTTCCAGCTGATTTATTTACTGCTTGTATCGGGCGGATGGATGAATCTCGGTCGTGGCTGTTGTTTGACCTTCAGCAAGCGAACATTTGCTTTAGGCAAAACACACACGAAAGCTCAAAAAGTGTGGTCTTCATAAGGTAAAGTGTCTCGTGACTTGGAAGTTTTGGTTTTGCAGTGATTGCAGCGCTTGGCATTAGGCAATAATATCCAACCCAATGCTACCCTACATCCAAAAGTCATTTTTCATTTTAGGTCCACCGCCGAATAATAAAAAATACGCAGTGTTTTTAAAATGAATTACTTTTAGGCTCATTGACATTTAGTGCTAGGCCATGACATATGGGTGGGGAACCGTGTGTTTGCCTCCCGTCAATACTCCTTCTTCCCAACTGAGGTAGACGTATACCAATTGCTTCATCAACACTTGAGCTACGCATTAATAAAAGCCGTTCTTGACTCGTTAATGTTGAAATATTTTGATCAATTGAATGTGTTTCTTCACAGCCAAGAGTTTCCGCTTCTTTCGGAATCTACTGCATCCATCTTTGATTGATTCATCGTCAGAAACGGATGTTGTAAACTACTGGGTGGCAACTTTTCCAAATGAATTATACGAAAAGTCCGCCCCTACAGCTTTGAATGCGGTCTTCTGTACGCCAGACATTCAAGCTTGAACCATATCCACCTAGTTGTCAGCTTGTGGTCCAGTTTTTTTAACGGGCCACGTAGGGCTCAGCCATTGTACCTTGCCAGGTGACGTGGCCTTCGGACCATGTCAGTGGCTCCCGCGTCCTTCTGTAGTTCAACAAAACATATTCTGCCCCAATATTATGCATTTTCTCGTCTTCAAGGAAGTCTTGGTGCGTCACAAAGTTAAAGTGCCTTTTTTGATGCGATGGATCAAGAGATCAGGAAAGTGAAAGAGTCCGCATTGAGGAGTACCCCACCGATATACTGACCCCTCATAGCTGCGTTATTTCGTTTTTCAAGCGCGTTTCCGAAAGGATCACCTCCAAGGCGTAACTCAGTGGATTTGAAATGTATATTCAAGAAAAGGTGATGATAGCTTCCACGTAATTACTGGACGGTCTAAAGGTGTTTTGCATTGCCAAAGTCTAAAGCTGTCCACTTCATATGCCTTGGTAAACTACATATCTCTTTGTATACAGGCCGCAGTGTATCCTGGTAGTGGAGTGTTCACAAAGAGCTTACTTGATATTCTAAGCCCTAGCATGGATCTCTACAAATTCGGCCATCCATTGCTAAGCTCCTAAGAAATATTTAGATTTAAGGGTGAAAGGGTTTGGATTCCTTCAAATAAGTCAGCTCCCTCGAAAGGTGGCATCAAATGTACGAGGCTGTAAGTAGCTTCATTATAAACTCAAGAAGAGCCAGAAGGTGGATAACAGAACTCCTTGTCGCCGTCACAAAGTCCAAATCGGGGGAGCCTGAACAACTCTACGGAATCGTGAGCGTATCACACGGTCACAGTTTCGTGCTGTTTTCGGCGTTGCACGCTAAGACGATTGCGATAACTCGAATGGACCTAGAGTGGCTTTAGATTGCCTACAAAGAGTTGCGGAGGATTCTGGCCAAATGTTTGGGGAAGTATAATATAGAACGGTAATTCTTCTGTCGATAACTGAGGAAAGATCTTCTTTACACAACTCATGTCAGTTCTATAGGTATGGTACACTCCATACATAGATGCACCAAATAACAGAAAACGTCGTATACTGATTTAGTGCCAGATCTTTTTTTAAAGTTTTATAGCTGCCCAAAGACTATCCTCGGCAAAAAATTAGCCTTTGCTTCTCCAATGTCGTCGGCTATCGAGAAGAATACGGAAAATCATTTTCACACTACCTAATTTCTACCAGCAGAGGCTGCCAAAGACAAGCCAGCGTGTACACATGTTGCAACTCAGGGCTGATGAAGTAAGCTGACCTGAAAATCGGAGGCCAATGAACGAAACAGATTGTGAAATGACCAGCCGCAATGACCTGGCCTTCGCGCTCACCTCATTGGTCCGTTCCCTGGCGATCGTCTGATTGGCTGGTTGCAATGCCACAGCTTTCTGACGTGAGGGGAGAGAAGGTTATTTGGAATACCTCTGGTCTAGGGTGAGTTTCTCGTGTTCTTTGTCATGGCTGTCTTTACTTTTTATCAATTCAAGCAGGCGTATCTTTCATTTCTCCTTACCTTACAGGACCTTAAGCCTAATACGGTGAAAGCCAATGCTTGTATGAATTAAATTACATCGCTTCTTAGCTAATGGATGTAGGATTTGCTCTTTTTGTACAATTAGGAATAAGTGGATTTTGAGAATTATCGTGATATTTCAATGAGCGGACCTCGATTCCGTCGTGGCAAACATTAGTTGCTGGCTTTTATGAAAGAAGCCAACAAACTGGAATTGCCTAAATCGCCTTTGGTTAAAAACGAGGCTTTGTGGCTCCCAGTGATAGTTGATTATCTTGTTTTCCTGACACTCACTTGATAGGTCGTCCCTGATTGGTCCGAATGAAGTCTAGTGCTTCGGCGTCCCGTCATGCTAAATGCGTACCACCTAAATCTGCTGACGTTATCCTCTCCATCGTGCGGCCACGAATGACATGGCTGATTTTTGGACCTATTTACCTCACTATTACACCCTTTCACCACATTTGTATCGGGGGTAAACAACTTCGATGCTGGTAGCCAGGCTCGAATGAAATAATCGTAACGACGTAACTACCCAAAGTGGGGCGTTTTTATCTGTTCCGAATGGATTCAGGACACTTTTTTCCTCTCAAAATGATGGTGCACCTATTTCTTCTCTAGCTTTAGCAGCACGAGCCCAAAGAACGCACAACAGCAGCAGCTACAATGGTTGCTCAAGAATTCCTTTCGCAGTTGGACAAACTGCACTTCGTTGACTCGGCGAATTTGCATGATTTTGCCGACCGATGTGCCTACCTCCTCTCCTTCATTATCCTCTTGATGTGCTTCACTATTGTAACCCTCAAATCCTACGTCTTCGAACCCTTCTCTTGCTACACAGCCACGACCTTTTCTGGGTCTAATATGATCTCCTACATCAATTCATTTTGTTGGGTTAACGGGACTGTTCCAGCTGACGTGAACACCAATCGACTGGATGATCCCGTCTACTGGGACTACCTCGAAAGCAAGAAATTAAGTAGGTTTTTTATTCATAGTAAACATCATAATCGCACCTTAAATATAGGGCGTGTTTACTTGAAAACGGGCTGAGGTCATGCGGTCAGAGTCACTACACCTATTGGCCGTCGGCTAGGCGTTTATTATTCGGTTAATTTGAGGGTTAGTTGTTTTGGCTTTTTGACTGCGTTCGTGATGGTGGAATGAGTCATTTATCGTCCAGTTGTCTGCGGGCATGGCGACTCAGTTGACCCCGTGGGTTCCATTAATGCTGGCTCAGTCCGGCAGGTCACGGGAGTGATTAAGCTGTAACCCCCTCAGAGTTCCAATCTTGGGGTTGGAACCCTTGAAGGTGGATATGATTCCGCTAATTGCTTCTTGTAGCATAATGGTCATAAATTATTCAACTTTGGGTACTTCAATGATTGATTGGTGTGCTTCCGCTATGTCAGTAAAGTCAGGATAATTTTTTTGCAATCGTAGGTCCACCTACCCCTAAAGCATGCAAGTATAAGGAAGTAAAAGGGGTAGCATGAGTGGAGAGGTCAAACGATCCACTTGTTAACCAGTAAAACTATGCCAAATATCATTCTATTGCAGACTACTACCAATGGGTTTCCTTGGTTTTGGCATTTCAAGCAATATTGTGCTACTTCCCTTCACTACTATGGGAAGGCCTAACATTTAATCGCATTGGAACGAACATTAATTTCTACGTCGAATTCGCACAAGGCGCAGCCAAAGAGACTGGCATTAATCGGAAAAACAGGATCCAATTTCTAGCCTCCGCTTTGGACACCCTCTTATTCGCCAGGCGTCCACTTTCCCATCGACCCCACAGCTCCTTATGCTACGGCATAGCGGAGTTCTTTGGTGAACTGCTTCCACGCAAACGTATGGGTCGCGCAATATGTGCCTACTATCTCGTGATTAAGTTGCTCTACTTCGCCAACGCCGTCCTCCAGCTTGTAATCATGGAACGCTTCCTAGGCATGCCAGACAGCCATAAATTATTTGGAGTTCAGATTCTCCTCGACCTGTGGCATGGCCGTTACTGGCAGGCGACACTCATCTTTCCTCGCGTGGGCTATTGCCGTGTCCCCATTAAACTGGTGGGAAGGAACGTCCCTACACTGATTGCCCAATGCACTATGCCGGTAAATATGCTCAACGAGAAGATCTACATCTTCCTGTGGTTCTGGTTTGTCGCAGTGGCTACGCTTCAGGCGATCAGCATAATTACTTGGACTCTGCGTCTCTCTATGCGGAAACGACGTGTGAAGGCGTTGATTCACTACCTGAAAATTGCGGAGGCCTACGACCAAGGCATGCGAGAAACGCTGAAGCGCTTTGAGGCCACTTGCCTCCGTCCAGATGGCACCTTTCTGCTTCATATGCTGCGACTAAATGCTGGCGATATCATTACAAATGAACTTATTCAAGCTCTCTTCGAGCGTTACATCCGACACGAAAAATTGGCTGATGCGTCACCAATTAGGGAGGTTGGATCCGCATCGGTCAGCAGTCCAAATCCATCCGCGGATGCAAAGGATGATGAGGGTTCTGTATTGAAGCACAGGTTTGTTTGAACTTAAAAGGACAGACCGATTTGACACTAAGTTATCGCCTTCCAAACCCTTTTTATCTACCTTACAATCTCAATTTGTGTAAACGTATGTGCCAAATTTGGCTGTGTGTGAAATAGCGTGCCTATTTAACAGTGCTGTAGAAAAGAGGCCAAGTGCCTCAATCCATGTGAGTAAAGTGCCTTCTTTGTATGGACAAAAGAAACGCGTTTTTCCGATTAGCTCATTTCAAGGTGGGAGTGGTCTATGGGAGGAGGGCCAGGCGAAGGAGTAAAGGAAAAGGCATCTCACAGCATGTGCGTCCTGGCGCTGATAGCTTAGTCATCTTTAACAGCACGGAGACTGTGTCCGGGATGGGTAGACTGCACAATTCGGTCCGATGACTCACGTTTGCTCGCATGTGCTGAGGTGGCTATGCGGACAGGGCAATTGGACCTTCACTCACGTGATTAACATTTGTTAGGCTGATGCATTTGTCCAGACTTCCTATACAGGTCTAAATCCAATTGGACGCTCGACAGCTTCCAAGTTACCTCTGAAGACAATAAGATTGACGGGGTCGGAAGTAGGCTTGTTATCAATGTGCAGAAGAAATAAGCAACTGTTGGCATGAGCAAACACTACGACACCGTGGCAATGACGTCATACTTATCGGTGTCTAGACAAGTTGACTTCTGTTTGTACTTAATTGCCAGATATGTGCTGGGACTGTCTGCGACCTCAAAAATGGAATTCCTGTTTCAAATATCTGGAGCTTTTCGTAGAGTTTCCCCTCTTCGAATTTCCCGAATGTTTCACATTAAGCACTCCTGGTGAATCTTCCACCTGGTTGGAGAGAATTTGGAGGGAGACGCTTTATTTTTACTAAAATCAACAATAATAGCAGCAGTAGTACAAGCTGTGTAAACAGTAAAAGTACTCTGGACCACCTCTGAGCCTCCAGCACCCCGTCAGCCTTTGGGTGCGAGCGTGCTGTGCGCCTAGCCAGTTCAGGCCCGTTGGCAGTGAAGCCGTCCCAAATAGATTTTAACGTTTCATTGGGGTGGGATTCCCCTCATCTCCGGGGATATGCTCCAAGCAGACGACTTGAACTTCCAGTGGATGGAAGGGTTGTGTGTGCGGCTACCTAAAAGTGCTGGAGTTTCAGAAAATACCATGAAGCTGGAGCTTCAAATGAAGCATCGCAGATATCGTCGACTTCTGCCATCTGTAGCGAAAGGACTGTCGTTTCATTGTCTAGGTGGGTAAAGAAAATGCCTTCAGCAAAACGTAGGATTACTTTAGCATTGTGTAAAAACTTGGCGCCTAGAATCACGTTCAAAACATTTGACGAAGTCTTCCCTTCTAGGGCCATCGTCTTTCCTTCTGCTGAGCGTAATCTACTAAATGGCGGAGCGATCTTTATCTTTTCATACAGGGTTAGGAATGACCAAAGGTTGACTATTAACTTGACCTTGCCAGAGTTCAAAAGGCAATTGCATGGACGTCTTCCCTTTAGTTTGTCTGAGGCTTGCAGGAACAAATGGAAGCCGTTTGGGCGTAAACAAGGTGGAAAAGTAGAGGAATAGCCTAATATTTTAGCATAAAGCGGAGGGCCTCGATATGAGCTTGTTTGGTTAGGTCGCTTGTTGCGGTTATTGCAGTGCGAGTCCGCAAGCTATCCCCGACACTTCTCCGTTGGGGTTTTATCAACTCACTGAGGCAGTCGGCATTCATGCTGCAGAGCTTCTTGAAAGGAATGGGTGTATGAACTTCGTGTCTGATCTGGACTGTTATCCATTTAGCAACCCTATTTGGAGGTGAGCCGCAGAAGGGTCATTTTGCTGGAATTTGGAGGTTCTTTGCGTACTCTTCGTCCTCCTCAAGCACTTTTCGGTAGCGGTAGAGGGACTCTTTGGCAAGTGTCTTCCTGTTCGATGGCGAGTTGGGCTTGAGTAGTGCGACATTCTTCCAGATCGTGTTCGAGGTCATCCCGGTCCCTACAACGGTGGAGAATAGTTTGGGGGAATAGAAGCAAAGGGTAAATCTGGCGGTTCTAAACCATCCCTCGAAACCCATGACTTTCTTGATAGGAAGGTACTCCTACACTGTCGGTAGGTAATTACAGAGGATAACATTATGGCTCGATGGAATGCCGAGTCGATTGATGATGATTTGCATACATGTCTCTGAATCACTTGATTTCAACTGACCTTTAATTAAAAATTATGAGCTGAGAATGTCTGCGACTTCATAAATAACGGTCCTGTTTCAAGTTTATAAAAATTTCACAAGTTTTACCCTCTTAATAGTTCTTGAATACCTCACATATGAGACTCTCGGTAAATCACCTCCTGATTAGGACCGCTTCCAAGTCTCCAGCTCCCAGTCAGCCATCGAATTCGAGCGCGCAGTACACCTGACTAACATGTCAATTGCGAAGCTGTCCGAAATGGCTTCAATCTCCCAATTACTCCAGCTGAGATCTCGATAGACCCTGTGATCACACAGTTAAGCACCATTTGGGAAAAGTTGGCAATGCAGTATCCAGCAAAGAACTGAGTGATAAAATTTAAGCTAAATTTAGTCACTTTGTTGAGCTTTGCTACAGAGCCTCAGAGTACAGTCGACTCCGTCGCCAGACCAGAAGGATCACATCACCATGCATCTAATATTCGATTCTACATTCGGTCGCTAGTTCTCTAGGTATAGCTTTGTTGGCGCAGATTACGAATGGAAAGTTTAATTTCAACGACAAAAACTCAGAACGGTGAACAAAAGAAGTACGACAGGTTAATTCTGCCATATTCTTTAGAGAATGTGAACTTCGATGAGATCGCATCAATACTGAAAGACGCTCCTCTTGGTGTGTTTTCTCTGTTTCGCATGTGCTACAACTATCTGGCGTTGACAAAGTGCGGTGATCAGGCCCACTTGACCCACGCAGGAAAGGTAAATCATCCGGGCAAACGCTCTGACCTAAAGGAAATGCCTGGGGATCAATTCATGTTTCTCATTTTCCTATTCATACACACCTTTTTATGACCCTAAGAACATCGATGATCTAAATATCACACCCTCCAAAGTTCCGGTCTGCCCAGACTTAGCCAACGTCCCAACGACCCACACTCTGACATCGAGAACAAGGAAACACCTTCTTCACCCTGCTGATAGTGCGAAGTTTGGTGATTTGTAAAGCTCTACCCACACAGACGTCTGTAGTCAGACGCTCCCAACTGATGCACCCCATGAGTAGACAGTGGGAATTGCCAAAATGTTTGCCTCAGCTTCCGACTCGACTCTTGGCTTCCAGGAGCGACATTTTTCGAAACCTTTGTCTCATTTAGAGAGGCTATGACCACGACTCTGCCTTGACTTCGCAAGATTAATCATTGACATCTTTTGCCTCGTCTTGGTGGATGGCTCTTTGAAGTAGCCGGAGCTAACACCTCTGGTCCTTCCAATGGCTACCAAGGCGCTAGAGATGCTGCGTCATACTATTAGTCAACACGGGCTCCCCAAGACTTTAGTCACAAACAAAGGGCCATAATTTACTTCGCGGAACTTCCATGACATTTACTGTCAACAAGCTATTACATGTATTCACTCCACGCCGTTTTACTTTCAATTCAATAGGCAAGCAGGACAGTTTGTTGATGCATGCAAGCAGCCACTGCTGAAATTCCGAGGGGAGAGGACAACTGGCGATGTCATTAAAACGTTTCTACCGGCATTTTCTAACGTCTCCAAAGAGTGCGTAAGAGTAACTCCATTAAAATTCAAAACGGACGATGATCAGTGGATCAGTGGAAAGATTTTCGCAAAGGTAGATAAGAAACTTCCAGTGCCGAAATTGGAAACAGCAGCTGGATGAGGTACGGGAAGCATTTGCGTCTCCTTAGCAATGGAAACCAGCAGTCCAAGATATACTGCTGGGTACCTTAAAATGCCGCATTCACTTGTTGACTGTGCTTCTCATAATAATCAGGAGAGGATCCGGATCGGTTCCTGGTGAGCACCATGACGGCAGTTTGACGAGCCACTGCTAGTTTGAGCAGGCAAAAATCGCTGCTGGCTTGTTCTTACGAAGGTCTGGAGATGGCTGCGACCCCAGATCTAGCGATCCTTCTTTGATGTTCTGTAAGTTTTTGCAAGTTTTTCTTTTCTCTGACGTTTCAATACATTGGCAGGTAATTCTCTCGATAATAACCTGATTGGTCAATACAACTTAGAGAGCGTCTTGACTAATCAACACTATGAGTTTATAGCCAATCAAAACATCACACGCGAGAGTGGGACCACTTTGTGCCTCCTACGGTCGGTCGGTCGGTCGGTCGTCACACGCGTGTGCGTGGCGCCTCCAACTGACATATTAGTCAGCGATGGTGACATCCGTGTTGAAGGCTGCTCTGGTTGCGGATCCCAGCAGCCCCTGAGCTCACACAAGTAGGCGTCAGCTCATGGCGCTCTCCAATTCTACTGAATGCTTTAATTTCCTCAAATCCATATAAAAAATCAAGAAGCAGTAGTCTTGAGGAGAAATTGTGTGGTAAACTTGTAGACTGGTGTGTTCGAAGGTGAATTGGAAACGGTGGTTTTCAAAAGTGAGAATTTGTTTATATTAAAATACTAAGGTTGTTTTGCAGTGGAGACACGGGTTTTCATGTAATAGGCACAATCCGGCAGAGGTCAGGTTTATCCGATGAACAGAGAGTTTAAAAGTATGGCGGTTTCGGGGCCTTAACTCGTAATATAGCATCAGTTCAACCATTGAACTGGATAAGCTTACAACTTTTTAAAAGATTAACCGAGGTCGTTGATAAATTCTAGGGTTTTCGAAGGCTAAAGCAAAACATTTCATGCAGTTACCAAGGCATGACACTGGGTTTCATTCCCATCACCTGAATAAACGTCCAAGTAAAAGCTTGAAAGTGGTTCATTGCAGTTGAACTGCACCTGTGCAGCATGGTCTTTGGGGCACGCTAGTTGTCTCTTAGCTCCAATGCACATTAAAAATGCATGTTTCGACCTACTATTTTTGCCTTATTACAAATTTGGCAAAGGACCGAGATGCTACTATAGCAATGTGCTAAATTGTTTAGCTCTGCGTTGGATTACGTAGAATACTTGTGTCATCGCAAATCGCAGTTCCTTCCAACGGCATGGCTTCTGAACCATACCAGCAGTCTCAGCCATTCTGTCTGTTAGCATTGCGTTATCTGCCATAATGCCTTCCATAAAAGGCTCGGGACGCAACACTAAAAAAGCAACTGTTTCTGATGAAAACACCAAACGCTACAACCAACTGTCTGATTTGAGCATTCATCAGTAGAGTTGGCTTCTAGAATGCGTTACAGGGAAGAAAGTTCTGACATTTTGCCCCACAAGTGTGTCAAATTTCTAGTAACAATACTGAAAAGAGAAACAATGTACATGTGGTCTACGATAAGAAATTGATCTACTCTAAAATTAAACTTGGAACAATAAAAGTTGAATAGGTCGAATGCCTTTAAGTTGTTAATGCGATATGTTTTGATGAAAACGGTTATGCACACTCAGAAGCAGAGCTTTTTTATTTCAGTAACCGTTTTATGTCGCCAAACCTTTTCCTAACTGTTAGTATATTTTTAACACCTTTTTGCAAAATAATAATGGTTGCTTACCTAGATACTTCAACATTGTTTAATGGTTTATATATACTGGCTGGGTTGGTACTCGTTTCAAAGATTGCCTTGGTTAAACTGCGTCCCTCTTGTTGGCAGAATGATCACAAAATCAACTGAAATGCCAACGCTGGAGGAGTTAGAAGTTCCTGAAATAAAGATGACGGCTGTTCCTCTGCTTGCTGCGGCATTGTACATGGGAAAGTTTTGTGATCAACAATCAAAGGTATGTATTCTTTTGATCCTGAAATCTTCAGGAATTTATGCTTTGCGATCAAGAAAATCACGATCCTAGGAAGTGTCTTAAAGAAGGCAAAGATGTTACCGCATGTGGTCTAGAGTTCCTTAAGCTGATGAAGAAGAACTGTGCTGATGTATTCACTGCTTACTACCAATGCATCTGGAAGCATGGAGGGCCTTATTTCAGCATTCAGAAGTAAGTTTTATGATTAATTCTTGGTGCCTACATTTGTATGAGTTACACTTACTCAAGTATCCCGAAAACCGATATAAATTCTTTCCTGTTAGCTGCTTCTTGTTACACTTAAGATAATGAACTAATTGTAAATCTTAGTTCCATTACACTTGCCTCTCTGTTTTTTTTTTTTAATTTTTACTCAAATCTTGGAGAATTCACAATTCTTGGATCTCTGTGAATTTTTGAAATTCATAATTGGTCAGGTTTTTGGATGTTGCTAGGGCCTAGTTAATTATGTTTTGACTCGGCATTGGCGTATATCATGCAATAAGGCGCATTTTGTTTCATCGTTTAGTCTTAAAGGGAGTAGCTTTTTTCTTAATAACACATGCCTATAATGTCATTCTACTCATGCGCGTCCGCTTCATAGCACCTCGATGTGCCAACGATGACGCATTCAAAAATAGCATTCTTAAACCTATGAACTTCCCCATCAAATCCAAACGGTAGTAAAAATATTAGTTGAAATAAGTACGAGTGTATCTTAATTTATGCGTGAAATTTTAACGAATTTCGAGCCTGTTAACATTTTAACAATTTGGGATTGGATGATACGAAACGATTAGGTCCAGGATCCGAAGAGTCGAATGGTCAATGTCAAAACGGCTAAACTGAGCAAGCCGTTCTCCAACTGACTCTAGACCGTATTGAGTCTGGACTAGTTAAAGTTAATGTTCTGATTGTCTATGTTATTTGTAGCTGTCGCAAGCTGCAGTATCCGTTGGACAACTGCGTAAAGGAGAAGATTGGCCTAGAACGACCCGAATTGGGGTACTTCAATCGCGTGCGTCTCGTGGACACGAAGCGTCCGAAGCCGATTCCCAAGCTGGCGCCCATGCCCGAGCGTATCCCTGACATGCCCGACTTTGACAGTATGCCCGACCCTGAGAAGCTGGAGGCACGCAAACATGTAAATGAGGCTATGGTCTAGGTGTTGATTGTTGCTGCAGTTCCCCCTCCCTCTTTTTGAGTTACCAAACCCATCGAGTTTGCTATTAGACGTGGTCTCAGTCAGAATTCTCACTACTCGTTCCTAGTGTTTGTGAACAAACTTTTGCAGTTTTCTGCTCTTGATGGTCCACTGAGGAGACTTAGAAGGATGGGGGTGGATAACGCTTATGGAACTAGGTGCAAAACTTCCTGCAAGAGGCGTGCCTGTTGTTTTCACATTCGTCACAGGTACTTTGTTTGACTTCCTTATGCTTTAAACCTCTCTAATATTGTAACAGCAGTGTTCTAGCCTAGGGTAGTCAATCACTTCTTAAACTGAGGTGAAGGAGTGATTCATTTCACAGGGCTTGCTGCGCTACGGTTCTGTAAAATAGCATTACAAGAGCTGGGAACCTGGTGTTGATTCCTTGCTTGTCCGAGTAAAATGCTACACCCCGTTACTTAATCGTGTTTAAGTGGTTCTACCATGAAAGGGAAACGCCTTAACTGTTCGCTGGATCCCATCAAGGTAATGATTGCCGTGTGTAGACCTCGTGCCGCACTTGAGGATAGGGATGCGAACTTACCTTTTGTGATATCCATCCGGGCGCTGACTATCGCCTTTTTTTTGGCGTTAGTATTATGTGATCATATTAAAACATTGAAACAGACCACTAGGAAATAAGAGTGGAATAGCAGCAGAGGTTATTCAGGAATTTTCTTGGATCTTAGAGACAAAACGCGCATTGAAAGTGAGAATTACAGTGCGCTTGCGTCCAGTTGGGGGAGGGGGGGAGGGAGAGGGGTGAGGCCATTATATTGGCTACCTTATAACAATTTCTTGTCACATAGAGGGTAGAAGCATATCCAAAGGACACAGAGGTCACACAAACGTCAGCTTTCCTTGCTAACATGAGTGTAAACAGTCACCTGGGAAATAATTGCTTCCGTGACTACAAGATCCGACCCAATAAGTAATTAAAACAGTCAGAAAAACTAAGAGGTTTCTTTGAACGTCCATTCCCGAGGGTGGGGGGAATCGGACGGATCGGCTTGACAATAGAATCACCTCTTCTAAGGACTACTCCCGTATGCAATAAGAACGGAAGTCAATGAATAGACTTTACCTACAAATGAAGGAGCGGATGAATATCTGGATTTGGAAGTCATCTAGAACATTAATTTAGCTATCCAGGACATTTTTATGGCAAGACTCAGTCCGATATGGAGGTAAAAGAAACAGAAGTCGACAAATTAGCAGCCTCCATTATCGTGTAGAGAGTAATTACGCTTTTGGCAAGGTAATACCAGCAAGCTTTTTTCATGCCTATACAACTTTACAGGGGAAAGGGAGACAAAAGAACACTCAATTCCAAAAGTCATCCAGAAGTACTCCATGCCCATTTTCGGTGGCCGTAGTAGGGTCGAGGAGCTGTTCTAGGCATGTAATCAGCGCCAGCTGTGACACCGACTGCGAATCGCCGACAGCATCGATGAGGCTCTTGAATAGTCTTCGGGCCTGACGCTGGTAGAGCTGAAGCAATACGTAGCCTCCAACCTCAATCAAGCCGTGCAGAACCTAAAATGTAACCGAATTTTAGTGGAAGCACTTTCAGTACTTTCGCCACCTGGTTCACATAGGCATAACATACGAACTTTTACACGGGTGTGCTATTCGAAAATGGGTTCCGACTATGGCAGCTATTAAATAAGTAGATAGTTTGGAGTCGGACGCAGAACAAACTCGAAATACAATGGCATCTTAACATCAGATTTCATCATTACACACTTGTCTACTTGTTGGAACATAAAACCTATATTATATATTATCTTCTAATAATTGGAATAAGCCGTAAGTCAGCAAGAAGCACAAATAGCGGATCCACAATACAAAGCTAAATTACCACAAATTACTAATAAAAGACAAACCATTCTTGCTACTAATTTTATTTTAGTAGTAAAAAAAAAATTAAATCACCTCAGAAGTGATATCGAGCTTTCCCTCATGTCTGGCAATGCCAGCTATAGTGATCCAGAGGAGTTTGGGATTGAGATGCTCTGGACGGTGAGTGAACCCAGGAGGTGGCCGAGCCAGCAGAACAGCGGCAAAGAGCCGGGAGATGCCACGCCAGCTCTGCAGTACACCCTCGTCCAACTCCACATCGAGTGAGGCGAAGATGGTGGCGGAGTCATCGACGTAGGATGTGAGTACAGGACACGCTGACGCCATTCGTGCAAGGAAGTTGGGCTGGCAAGGAAAAGATTATTAAAACGATATTATTGATAATTAAAAAATCGACGGACAAGAAGACTAGAAGCACAGATGCCGCGGCAAATATCCAATACAAGTATCCATAGTGCATTGCCCAATCCGTGGAGATTCATAACAGGACACAGGATTGAATGACTAGACACAGTTCGTAGAAAAACTGGCCAAAATATTATAACAAAAAGTGATCACATCTCTCGCATACTTAGAACCCATGAATGACTGAAAATTAGAGTATCAAAATACATACAGAAAATCGTCACAAAAGCCAACCGATCGAAGGAAGGTGAAAGAGCACGAAATGAGTTTTCCAGATATGCTAGTGGTGGATTGGAAAAGGAAATTCCGGATCTCCAAAAAAAAGTACGCTTTCAAAGCCCTAGAAGACAATCATTTGTAGGGTTGTAAACAGTCAAAATAACCACTCACTATATACTCAGGATACCGAGCAAGGAGTGTGGCCAGAACGGCAGCAAAAGGAAGAACGCTATGTAGTGAGAAGGCGAATTGGCGTTCGGCCTGGGCTAGCGCAGCGTTCAGAAGGCAGTGCCACGCGAAGGCCGTGCCCATGTCCTGGGGCAGACGGAAGACCTCGGCTGCCGCACCTGGCGGACGCACCGGTGCGCCCTCGAAGAAGGCTAGGAGATAGTTCAGCCGGTTAAGGCAGTGATCTGGATCGCTCCCTGTAATCTGCAACAACGGAGTTTTACGAATCACTGGAGGTGAAGGGGCTAGTACAATGATGATTTTTTTTAAGGATTCCAACTTAGACTTCATCAATGGTGGAAAAACTCGTATTGTATTCAATCTTGAACGTTGCTCAATAAATAAATCCTTTTGAGACAGGTTAAAAGTAAAACACAACTGCTGACGAACTCTAAGGTGTCTTCATGGCAATAGTGGTTCATTTGGTTGGGACTATGCTCCACAACGGCACTAAAAATGGCAGTGGTAAGGTGGTAGAGAGTATAGGCGTTCCAATTCTCCAGCTCCCAACTAACCTGACTGCAGGCAGACCCTATGATCATCTTAACCAGTGACGTTGCAACTCGAAGATCAGGATTTGAGAGCAGGTGGAATAGGGAGTTATTTGTCGTGTTGTTAATCGCCAGAGCATCATTTTGACAGAACCCCGAGATTAGCAGATCTTTTGGCAGATCCGATTTGGAAGGTAGTGGCTAAAGAAAGGAAAAGAACTATTACAAGGCCCGAATGACATTCCCAAACCTTTAAAATAGATTGTAACACACAGGAGTAGGTTGAGCAGCTTTTGGCGCCTTCTGCACGGTCTTCCCCTTGAGAAGGGCGTTGGCGTCTGCCAAACATGCCTCAGCATCCTCTAGGAAACGTGTAAAGATGGAGTTGACTCTGTCAACCATCTCTACATCCTCCCAACCTCCCGTATTGGTGGGCGGCAATGTGAGGAACACCACTGCACGAGTCTCTACTTCTTGAATCCGATTAAGAATTTGATCCTTTTGACCTGGAAATAAAAATACAAAAGTAGGAAGAGATTTATTCGAAGAGATCAGGAAAGGGTACTCACATTGTCTTGGATCTTCGGGTAGAAGTCGTGAAAGAATGGCGAAGGTGCATTGTCGACAGGTGACGATTGATTCCATGCCCTTAAGCAGTTCATCAGACAAGCTGAACTCTGTCTGCGGAGGATCAATCCACCAATCTGAGAGAAAATCGTCAGAATCTGTTGGGGGTTTCAGTGGGTGAGGGGAGTCGATATTGTCTGGGGGATCTGGCATCGGTTGTGAGATGACCCGACGCATTTCAAGAGAGGCGCGTTTTAGTAAGTGACCAATGTGACGAAAATAAGCCTTCGAACTCGACATTCTTCGAGTACCAACCTTAAATAAAGAATTGCAGAATTTTACAGAATGATAACGAACTTGGATGCAGGTTCACCAAGCTGCAGATGGCTTTGTATTTTAAGTATAGAGCAGAAATACAAAACAGGAGAATTTGTAATCAAGAAGTCATATAGCCAATTACCTTATTATAATAATGACTCTAACAAGGAGTCAACAGCAAAACCGACAAGAATAGACGATTAATACATTGAAAAAGCACAAGAACATTCAAGGAAGCAAAAACAGCAGGCAACAATTGAAATATGATAAAGTGGGTCATCATAATATGTCCAAAAATCATACTTAAGTATACAGTGCCAATTTTTTTAAGAAAACTATTCTCAAACTAATTAATGATCGAAAAGTAAAAAGTTAATGCAGCGTCCGAGGCAACCCCAAAGACAAAAGAAGAAATAACGCTTGAGCAGAATATGTATTATCGACATACAGAACGGACTGGAATCACCGGCACGAGCCGGAGGGGAGGCCGCAAGACAGGAGTGCAATGGCGGAGCCCCTAAGCGACTCGTTGCCAAATCTGGGGGGTAAACAAACAACTAAAGCGTTACGCAGCTCCTCTCATTTAGAGCGTCTTCCCCAGCGCGCCCTTTGGTCAACCACCCGCGCCGGCATCACAACGTAGTCGCTGCCGCAAAAAAAAACACCCACGAACCAACTGCACCAACAATCGATTTGCGTGCAACTGCGACGACATATGATCGTAACATCACAAATCCCTCTTGGCAATTCCGATGGGTTGGCCGGCGGTAGTCGTAATAGCAGTGGGTATGACACCACCCCTTAGGAGTGAGTTTTCGTGTCTGTTTCTCCTAATCACTTAACCCGCGTTTCAGCACTGGTCAGCAATATCTATCTGAGTTCTATTGAGCTAGCAGTGAAGTGAAAGAGGGATGGCGTAAACAAGTAGTTGATCTTTCCACACAGACACCATGGAGGGCTCCGTAACAGACTTCTCAAAGTCGCTTACGGCTAGTTTCGTTTTGGTTATGAATAGCATTCCTGCAAAAAGGAGGACTAAGGTAGATGTCGAAGGCAGACAACATTTCCAGACCTTCAGTTGAGGGTTATCACACATTCTTTAATACGTAGCACTTCGGGACCTCCCTGAAGACAAGAGACACCATAACAGCCGGACTGAGCACTTGCTGTTGAGGTAGTGAATAGATGGGGCCCACTCTAACTACCAAATACCAGACCGCTAGGGGAAGACCGAATAGCTAGATCCTAAGTGGCTCGTTGCCAAAGCAGAGACTTAAACAAACAGTCATCGTCTTGCACTAGCACAGGTTACACAAAAAGTTAATTAAATTTCATGCTTATTTTAATTTTTAATTTATTTTGCACGTGTACATTTTACCTTTTTTGCTGCACCAAAGTGGCTTTAAGGTGGTCAAATAACTAGAATGCAAAAAAAAGCCTAAAAATAAAAAGCACGTAATTTTGCATTTTTATTTTTAAGTTTTAACTCTGCTGCGTATACTAGGTACCATTAGTTTATTCAAACCAACTACTCAAAATTGAGTGAAGAGTGAGTGGTTTGAAAGGAGTTGGTTTTATGAAATCGGGCTGTATGTTCTCCTCTTCTTGTGTTACATCAAGTGAATGTCTGGTGTGACTTGAGCATGCATCCTTTTTGAGTATTTGTGCTTAATAGCTATAGTTTTGGAACCCAATTTCATTTTAGGATTAATATGGTAGGATTTCCCAAAACAAAGGCCTCTGTTGAAAAGCTGCTCGACTTACTTCGATGCGACAATTGTTCCCGAACTCTACACGAACCCTTTACCACTGGAGTATGCTCGCACACACTTTGCTTGGAATGCTGTAGCACCAGTGTTGCTCCCGCTGGAAGTCGATCGAAGAAACACGCAGGAATCAGTAACATCTGTCCTCTTTGCTATATTCCCATTCGTCCTTGTGATATTAAACCTCATCCCCAGCTTCACAATCTTGTGCTTGTTGCTCGAAGGCTTGCAAAACTCCTTGGGAACAAGGAGTCTACTCCATCGTCAGGTCTAAATATCGAGTCCAAAGGTAACATTTTCCGTTCCTCTTTGTTAAATTTTATAACTATCATGCCTTTATGCACTAGAATCTAAATGATTGTAATGAGTCCTATTGTGCTACTTTCCTTATGACAGATGAAGATCCACACGATAGTCTTGAATTTTTGAGTTCCGTCGATTACCATCACTTTGAAAGCCCATCACCTTCACTTGCCCAAAAAGTCCACTTGAGGTCATTAGACTCATCAAACAATTCCCCTACAGTTACTGCATTGTCTCCTGTCGAGTGCACTGCCAGCCCGTCACTTCTGTGAGTTTTCCTATTACCAAAATTAGTTATTTGACTGGTTTTAAACACCCGGCTTTCTCATCCATTCAGACCCGTTGTTGTGCTGACTAGATGCATTGAGGATGTTGAGAATGTGGTGCCTGTGGAGTCCATGCCGCCACCGCCAGCCCCTCCTGCCAAAAAATCCTCGAGAAGAGGGAGTGTTACTGCTCGTAAACCCTCGGAAAAAGTGCGTTATTTCGTGAATGATGAAAATTACAAAGACAGCAAATTTATAGGGGTTGCGGATGAACAATTGATTACTTTAATTAAATCGGTGATGTCTTTCCATAACCGCTTATCCTTTTATAGATTAATAAGTATGCTTCTCGATTTATTATTATTCCTGATTTGTTACGTGTGCTTCTGTTGTTTATAGACAGGGAATAAAAGCAAGGTTGGTGTGTCAATTTAGCATAAGCCTGCACTTTTTCTTAGTTGCATTTTGCATTTTCAGTCGCAGGTTCTTACTTTCCGTTTGTATACATCCCAAGATTCTTTTTTGTCTTCAGCAATTAACAATCCCTTCGCATTGGCTCTCGGTTGTATAGTTGCAAGTATTTTTTACTCAATTTTTAGAATTTCATTTCACCATTCCTCATGAACTGAGAGCGTTGATGTTTATACAATGATATTACAGGTTTTTAACCAAATATACCTTTATGGATAGTTATTATTGGAATCGGCTTTTACTTTGAAAAGGTGTATTCAGGCATCCACTATGAAGCCACACGTTATTAACTGGGAGAATCACTCTTATGCAAAAATGGTTGTCTCGTCCAACCCTAAGGAAGCCAAGAAATTTTTGTCTGTTTAGGTCGGTTGACATAGTTTAGATGGCTAACTACACCTACCAATTATATACTTCCTCTTTTTGCTCACTCATTTTTATGAATTTTTACATTCAGAACCAGTGCTTCATTGAATTCGTTTTCCAATCAAAATCGTCTATCAAATTTGCTCCGTCCCATAAATCTCGGCTTTATTATCGGATTTCGTCGTATTTTTAGGTTGTGAATGTTAGGCGATTAGGTTTCCTCAATGCTAGGTCTTAGTGCATGAAGGCCTTGTCCTGCCATTCAGTTTCATTCCTTATCGACACGTTTTGTACATCTAAATTACTGGAAACGGACGATTGTTGCATTTACTTTATAATTAATTCTTTAGAATTCTGAAAGTTAAGTCGCTTATAAAGACGAGTGGCCATTTGTTAATTACTTTTTAACGGTGATTCATAGCATTAGCTTGGTTAATTGGCAAATGTTCTAGTTTTCCTGTTATCAAATCTAGCATTAGCACCCTCTTTTATCTTACAGTCTGCAAAGAAATCAGCAGGGGCAACACCAGAATCGAAGGTAGAAACAAGAGCAAAGGCACCTCTAGCCTCGCCGGAGCAGTCGGGAATGGCTGAGACTTTGGCCGTTTCTCTTCCCATACCCGCTTCACCACTGAAACGGGGCACCTCTGCCGACAGCAGCGACGGCGGAGACAGTGAAGCTCGTAGGTCCGCCTCCAGGTGCAGAGGCAAAGGTAGCAGTGTTGGAGGCGGTGGAGAAGTCGAGCTAAGGCTGAACAGCAAGGGAGAGAGCGTCCTACACCGCGCGGCCATTAAGAACAACGTGTCAGAGTTGAAGCGCCTCCTGACCGCTGGACTCTCGCCCAATGCACGCGATCACGCTGGCTGGACACCGCTGCACGAGGCTGCGCTGCGTGGACATGCCGAAGTCTGTTTTCCTTTGTTTCATCTCCAGACGAGAATTTTAGTTATGATCGATTGCCTTCTAAATAGAGGTCTCACCTTTTTAGTAGAGTCCTGATGTTTTGCTTTCTTCTAGCTTAATTTTTCATTCTTAGTACTTCCACTGTAACTTGTAACTCTTATTTGTACATTGTGACAAAGAAATTTCGTTTCAAATTTCGGTGCTGTATAATAAATTAGGAAGCTAAAGATGCAGTCATGGTATTTTGATCATTGGGTTGGAGTTGGTGCACTTAGGAATGAAATTAAACACTCTGTTTCCAGATTCCCTTCTCTTTTTGCCACGAAATAGCAGTTTGTGGTATTCTCTCTCCTATACTCTCCTTAAAACTGGTAAAGAAATTTGCGTATAATAGCCGTTGAGCCTTGGAGACATTGTGGTTAATAGCCATTGTTAAGATAACTATGTTCAGCCTGCTAGGCCATCAAGTGTGTGCTTTATCCCTGCAATGCTTAACGCCTGATTTTATCAAGATCTTCTAGTGGTCCCTATTAAATAACTGTAACTTGGTGAATGTATAACTATTCCTCAACACCTCTTGGATCGTGACTCGTCGTCTTACCATGCTGTTATTCTATGCCTGAATTGAAAGTACGTTGAATTTTCTAGGCAGTGGAATGCCTTCTCACTGACGGTCACGCCACAGTTGACATACCGGGTGGCCCAGACCTTGAAACAGCCCTCCACGAAGCTGTGTTCAACCGTCAGGTGGACATAGTTCGTCTTCTGCTGCGTCACAATGCCAATCCCACGTTTGCCAACGGCCAGGGTGTCACACCACTACAGATATGTGCCCAGCACCTCAGTGAGGCAAGCCAGAATGTCCTCATTACCAAAAAGACTCGCAAAGGGCGGCGATTAAAGCGGCAGAACTCTTTCGAGGCTCTGAAGGACATCCAGACCATCCAAGAGCTCCTTACTGTGGCAACGGCGAAAACTTCAGAGTTGGGAAAGGAGATGACGACTGCGTCTGACCAGGCCGCTTCAGCCCTCTTTATTGAAAGGTGGGTGGTTGAAGATATTTCGTGTGTAAACTCGAATTTTCTTCCTGTTTTTAGGAGACGCCTTAGACCTCTTCTCTTGGGTACGGGTTTGAATCGGAACCAGAAGAACGTAATGACCAGGGTGGCGACCTTAATCCACGCTAGAGTTGCTATGACCATGTCGGCGGAGGTGACTCATCTCATCACGGGTGCACAACTTATCGCAAAGAGAGGAGAGAAGCAGCAAAAGAAGAAGAGGAAGAAGGGGGAAAAGGTTTCGGAGGCTGCAGGAGAAGGAGAAGTCACTTGTCCGAGGACGCTCAAATTCCTCAACGCCGTGTTGCAGGTGGGCTAAATCACCTCTATGTTTTGCTTCCCTTGCCTCCAGAGCACTTCTTTTATACTTGAACATTTTCTGCGCCCTGTGATTTCCATACATCATTAATGCTTAGACTATCCTTTCACTGATGCTTCATTTCCTACATCGAAGTTACTGATATTCTGTGGGTATTTGAGTTGGATTTTTATGTACGAGGGAGATTTTATTTGAACCTTGTAATATTACAAATCAAAGAGCTACCACTATGGCGGTAGTACAGACAGTGGTAAGTGGCAAGTTCAAATGCAGATTAACAGTTGGCGCATGTGTCGTGAGTCAGTGCAGGTTAGATACTGTACACCTATTCAGGTAGCTTTACTCTCCCTTTTGCTGCTAGGGCTGTTGGGTACTCTCTTTCGAGTGGATCGAGACGTGTGCTGCTTTGAAGATGCGGGTGGAGGAGGAGGCCTTCGAGGTGACTGGGTGTAGCACCGCACCCAACACCCATGCCTCAAGACGCGCTAGACGGGCTCGTGAGGCGGGCTCTGCTGGGCTCTTCCACGGCTACCGATTCTGCCTCCTTGTAAGTTTCACGCTTCTTATACTCTTTGAATACTTGTGGCTGTTCCTTTGTGTTTTTTGCCTCAACGACTGGGTCTGCAATCAACGTAAGTTCCATACTAAACTATGACGAATCTTGTTCTGTACCTGTTGTCATAAACCGCAAGATTCTGAAAGTGATTCCATTAGAAGGGCTCTGTTACCCACTGGACTTTGTGGTTCAACGGCAGCAACTCAGCCTCGCTAGCTTGGGCGCACGACGAGGACAGAACATAGAATCGGGCAGTAGACAGTTCAATTGGGGAATCGCAGATTTTGGAAATGTGGTATTGAGAGTGATTAGCCGAGTGAGCAGCCGATCTTTCAGGGAGGTGGTGGAAACAGAAATATCGTCAACTTGTGTCAGTGCCAGAGTGCGTATTACTGCTTTGTTTATGCAGCCTTAGTGCATAAATAGGGGAGAGGGCACGACGTACGTGGTCTTCATCACCGATTCGAAAAGTATACAATCTCGGAACCGAGATTGGAGTGAAGTGTCCCTCCATCGTGTCGGCGTGAGGTACGTAGTTGAGAGTCAAGTTTCACATGAGGATTGATGCATTCCTGATCCCTGGAACTTCTTCTTGAAACAGATTTCATCTCACACGGTGTTTTTATCTAACGCCTCAGTTCATCAGTTCTTTACCTTGGTCTTGTGAAGATTTGAAATGAATGAGCTGTTGTGTGTGTGCCTCGCCAATAGGGCAGCTTCGCCTACCCAACACCGGACCGAGCCGACCTCTGCAACCTTTTAACATGCGGTGGTGCGAACATCTTCTCTCGTGATGTCACATCGCCTTCTCGTCTGGCCTACATTGCAGTAGACGACCCAGTCATCGCCGAGGTATGGATGGTGCAGCAAGGTGCGGGCGCTCAGGAATTGCAGTCGGGTACTAAACTATTGCCTACAGCTGCGGCTACCATCGCTGTTGATGATGCCACCACGGTTCATCCACACCAGTTGATCGCCCTCTACGATCCA